TCTTCTCTTCTACACACTCTCTCTCCTCCTTCTCTCCACTCTCGTAGGCAGAAATTTCCAAACTTATCCTTTCCAATCATCCTACTACCTGTCTGCTTGATCCTATCCCTACTCGCTTCCTTCAGGCCATTTCTTCTCCAGTTGTACCTGCGCTCACTCACATTATCAACACCTCTCTTCACACTGGTACATTTCCCACAGCATTTAAGCAGGATTGGGTAACCCCACTGCTTAAGAAACCCTTATTAAGAAATAAGTAAATCCAGCACTTTTAGAAAACTACAGACTGGTATCCCTCCTTCCATTCATTGCAAACACACTTGAGTGAATTGTGTTCAACCAACTCTCTATGTTTCTCACACAGAACTACCTCCTGGACAACAACCAATCTGGCTTCAAAAGTGACCACTCAACTGAGACTGCCCTGCTCTCGGTTATTGAAGCCCTGAGACTGGCAGGAGCAGCTTCCAAATCCTCAGTACTCATCTTGCTGTATCTGTCTGCTGCTTTTGACACAGTTAACCACCAGATCCTCCTGTCCACCCTCACGAAGATGGGCATCTCAGGAACCGCACTCCAGTGGTTCAAGTCTTACCTCTCAGGTAGGTCCTTCAGGGTGTCTTGGAGGGGTGAGGTTTCTAAGTCACAACTTCTTGCTACTGGGGTTCCTCAGGGCTCAGTGCTTGGGCCACTTCTCTTCTCCATCTACATGTGATCATTAGGATCTGTCATTCAGAAACATGGCTTTTCCTATAACTGCTATGCTGATGACACTCAACTCTACTTCTCATTCCAACCAGATGATCCGACGGTAGCTGTTCGCAATGCAGCTTGTCTGAAAGACATTTCTGGCTGGATGAAGGACCATCACCTTCAACTCAACCTTGCTAAGACAGAACTGCTCGTGGTCTCAGCCAACTCAGCACTTAATCACAACTTCTCTACACAGCTAGGTTCGTCAACCGTAACTCCTTCCAGGACAGCCTGGAACCTTGGAGTTGTGATTGATGATCAGTTAAGCTTCACAGACCACATTGCTACAACAGCCCGGTCCTGCAAATTTGCCTTATACAACATTAGGAAGATTAGACCTTACCTATCAGAGCAGGCCACACAACTCCTTGTCCAAGCTCTTGTTACAATACTGGACTGTTGTAATGCTCTCTTGGTGGGCCTTCCGGCATGTACTATCAAGCCTTTGCAGCTGATCCAGAATGCAGCGGTGACGAGCCGAAGAAAGCCCACGTCACACCTCTCTTCGTCAGTTTGCACTGGCTGCCAATAGCTGCTCCCCTCAAATTCAAGGTACTGATGTTTGCCTACAAGACAACCACTGGCCAAAAGTGGTCACCAATATACCTAAACTCGCTTGTTCAGACTTACGCGCCCTCCAGAAGCTTGCGTTCTGCAAGTGAATGACACCTCGTGGTGCCATCCCAAAGAGGCATAAAATCACTCTCACTGACCTTTTCCTGGACTGTTCCCAGCTGGTGGAACGACTTGCCTATCTCAGTTCGAGCAGCTGAGACTTTAGCCATTTTCAAAAAACCGTCTAAAGACAGATTTACTTACCTATTCTATTCATTTTACTAATTCATATAAGAAATAACAACAACAACAACAAAACCTTGCTATGTGTACTGTGCTAGACTAACTGAGACTTGTCACATCACTTTTATACTGTTGCTCTCTTGTTGGTCTGATTGCTTCTATTGTTCTCCTAATTTGTAAGTCGCTTTGGATAAAAGCGTCTGCTAAATGATTAAATGTAAAGAATCATTTTCTCTGTAATTAGACTACACTGGTCATGCTTTGTTTTTGATTGACTTAAAAAGAACCAATTCATTAGTCATTGTGGCGAGAGGAGCGGGGCCGAGAGCCGTGGGAACGGAGCGAGGCCGGTGGAGTAATTGCTAATGCGCGACACCTGCGCCACTCACCGGTCTCGAGTCTCACGGAGGAGCTCCGGAAGGATAAAAAGGAGGAGGGACGACCGTGAAAGACGAGAGAGGACCAGGCCTGGAGTTTATTTTGTGTTTTGTGTGCGGCAGTCGTCCGCGAGGGGCTGCCGCTTTACTTTCGTTTTGTGTTTGTTTATTTTATTAAATTATCTAAATGTCCGCCGGTTCCCGCCTCCTTCTTCCCGATCTACAAACGTTGTTACAGTCATGCATTTGGGAATCAGACTACACTTATTCAACTCATAAGAGTCATTCAGTCGGGAATTGAACTACACTAGTCACACTGTATTTGCTCACAGAAGTCACTCGCTCTGGTATTGCACTACACTGGTCACACTATACTGTATGTTTCTGATTCACAAAAAAATTAATCAGTTCATAAGAGTCATTTGCTCAATAATTGTAGTACACTGGTCACGCTGTATGCTTTTTATTCACTAAAGACCAGCTCATAAGTATAATTTTATCTGTAATCAGACATCACTGGTCATTTTGAATGTCGTTTAGTTCTAGTATTTAAAGAAAAAAAACTGGTACTGAAACTACAAACTTTACCCTTTTTCCTAGCTTAGTACTCACAGTGCCTTTGGGAAGAGATAACATAACTTTTTAGAGCAGTCCGGTTTTCCACAGGGGCAGCAGTATTTTGATTGACGTGTTTGCATAACTGGGCTGTCTGTGGTATTAGAGGGTCTGAAAAATCAGGCCAGCCAAGGAAAGTAGCGCAGCTGCAACTGCTGCCCCCCCTTGCATGACTTTAGACCTTAGGCTATCACAAAGATACCTTTATGCAGAGAGCCACTGAGTTCAGGGGAATGAGGGAGAGCACTCACACACACACTGTGAACATAACATGTCAGAGCACAAGGAAGAGTGGTATGGCTAAAGTATGTTCAAATGGAAACGTGACAGTGCAAAAGGTTACATTGCAATGTTATTTGGGTACATTTGCAGAGAACTATTTGGGGAAAATACACATTTCGGTTTAAAATAGAGTAGACTCGCAAAGCACAGTGGCACAGAAACAGATGGAGTCCCGACATCTCAAACAGGAGGAGTTTAAAAAACTCTCCGTGTAGACGGTTACCAAAAACCTTTGTTTGTAATGGATCAAGAAAGCACTGGGAAACAACATCAAAAGAGCCAAAGTCCATCTCATAATCACCGAAGTAGCCACAAGGGTCATGTAAACATTTTCAATCAGAAAAATAATTTTATGGACAGAGTATTCTTTCCTGGAATAAGTATGTTTTCATTCACTGAAATATTGCATTGCACATGCAAGAAAAATTACATGCTAATTCCTCTGTTTTGAAAAGAATAACCTCAGTCAATTTTATTGCATTTTTGAATTTCTTTCTAGACTTTAAGCGTCATGAGAATGACCAGATGTGGCCCAAGCTTCCTCTAGAGGTTTAGGTGGTTGATATTGATATCATCTAACAATGTAGTGGCCCCTGGCACAATATCTGCAGTATGCCACTATGAAGATCCAGAGCTCTTGTTATAAGTCTGACTCATGTTAAAAAAAAATTTTTGTAATTACAACAAAGCAGAGATCTCTCCAGGTTCATTTTCAGATATTATATAGTCATTTTATTACATTTACATTTAATCATTTAGCAGACACTTTTATCCAAAGCAACTTACAAATGAGGAGAAGAATAGAAGCAATCAGACCAACAAGAGAGCAACAGTGTTCAAGTGAGGGATGTTCATGGAGAACATCGGACAGCCAGGGGGCAGAGGGATTGTCTAAGCAAGATGTTAGAGTGCGGCAAAGAGTGTCAGTAGCAGTGTTCGTGTCCAATGTTGAAAACTGATAGGGTGGAGGAAGTGAGGATGAAACCATAGAGGATAGGCGAGAGGGAGAGAATGAGCATAGGTTACGCCAAAAGGTGACCTGCAGAGGATTGTGTGTTGTGTCAGGAGTCAGTTTGAGGTTAAAAGTGATGAGGAAGTGGTCTGAGGTGAGGTGTGCAATGGAGTAATTAAAGTGTTGTCAGTGGAGCAGTAGCGTGTGTAGATAAGGTCCAATTGGTTACCTGATTTGTGAGTAGCTGTAGTAGACACTCGCTTGAGGACAAATGAGGCAAGCAGAGTGCTGAAGTCAGCAGCCTGGGGTTTTTCTATGAGCGATACATTTTATTGAATCGAAAACATACAGTGTGATCAGTGTAGTTCAAGTTTGAGTGAATGATATTATGAATTGGGTTGTTTTTAGTGAATCAAACACATACTGTACAGTGGAACCAATGTAGTGTGATTCCTGAACAAATCACTCTAAAGATTTTTTTTTTTCTTCATCAAAAATATAAAACATGACCAGTGTAGTCCGATTACAGAACAAATGACTCCTATGAGATGATTCTTTTTAATGAACCAAACTCATACCCCTTACAACTGTAAGACGTACCACGTTTTTTTTTTTTTTTTGTGTTGTTCTAAAATATATTTAAACATTGTCATTGTTCAAAATGTTCTACTATTCTGTTCCACTGAAAAAATATGCAGACATAATGGCATAACAGAATTTTCATTTTGTTTGACCTATTTCTTTAAAGCTAAGCACACACAAAAACACAGAATAGAGTTAAAGGATTTTAGACAGAGCTGTGGTTAAGATTATTCTGTTGATTGGCGTGAGAAATTGGTCAAAGGTTTTTGTTTTTAGATTGGTATCCGATTTCAGTCTCAATCTTTAATATTTGTTCATTCTTAAGTGACAGCAACGCTGCACTTGTTGTTTCCATAATACTGGTCCAACAATCCTGAGAGACAGCAAGTGTCTCAACTTCACGTGCTAAGGACCAATAGACAAGAGAACTCTTTTCATCTAATTGTAGTCAACAACAAGTAAGGAATGTTTCTCCAGTTTTTGAAGTCTTTCTTCAAAAGCTCACTGGATCTGCTGGGGGAACGTAGAGCATCATGTTAGGGCTGCAGTAATCTGGCCTCATGGGCCAGAGGGGAGAAAACATTCCAGAAATTTTTCCCAGTGACAATGATAATGACCCTAAGATTGAAATCTGTGTACAGGTACATGCTGCTCAGGGTCTGTGGGCTGATATCCTCATATAATCCTGCATGAAACGGCCAAGGAAAACCCCTCTGCTGTCCGTAAACGATACCTCCTTTGGTAGGTATGACTGTTTCGATTGGTTGTCCTGCCAAAATGTACTGCCAGGAAAGGATATGTGTATAATTAAAATCTTTCCAGATTGCAGCGCTGCACAAACCTACAAGAGCCTGAAGAGTTTACATCATACGGATCAAAACCTAACATGCAAAAAACAGTATCAGATATGTCTTTTTTGAGGAGTTGCCAAGGTTTTTTAATCTCTTCCAACTCCTTAGATGGTGTACAACATTGTGATTTTTTTTGCGTGCGTTTCAGCCTTGTTTTTACTTTTTCAGCCTTTGAATTGCATTACAAAGAAATTAATTCTCAAATAATTATTCCTACCTACATAGATGTTTTGTTATTTGAAGAAACATCTAAAGAGACATGAAATCCCAGGCTTAAGTTTAACACGCAAACGCTGCATTCCAGCAAAGCTTGACGGTCTCAAACAAATTCATTTCAACACCTGATCTTATTCTGTTGAAACAGCTTGGACCCTTATATAACATATACTTCCCGTTTTACTCCCATTTGAGGCCTGTGGGTGCCTCTTTAATCTGTGACCTCGCCATAGACCTCATGTAAGACTGACTCCCTCTCTTCCCTTTTCTCCAGGCGTCCAGACGAGTCTCTGTGCGAGTGTCAGGTCGTGTATACCTCAGCTGCTCCGTGGGCAAGACAAGCAGATCCCTGTTGATACTTGCAGTAGTCAATGGATTCAAGCTGACAGTCTAATGTGCTGGAATAATGTGTGCACTGGGATAAAAGTATGGAGAGATGGACGGATGCATGATGCTAGGGGTGTATAAGTATACAGATTTTGTCTCCAGTTCCCCATCTTCCTGCATGCCTCTTGCATGAATTGTAGAGTCCTTTATACATTTATTAATATGGGCTCGTATGATAATATGATGAGAAATGCAATAAATTTAATGACCATTGATAATATGATGAGAAATGCAATAAAATGAAAGTCATGCTACATAACAAACTACACTGTAAAAGAGGTTTTCTTACTTTGTGTTTTTGTCTTGTTTCCCATTGCAAATCTATAAAAAATTCTTGAATCTAGATACATTGCCTTAAGAAGGAAAATGACTCAAGATAGTCTTGTTTTCTGGGGGAAAAAAATCAAAATTAAGTGAAACAAATGTGTCACTGAGGTACGAAAAATAATATTTTTTTCCCCCTTTAAATTAAGTTATCTGTCAGCGGCATTAAACAAATCTCATTGATAAATATTTTTCTTTTTTTAAGCATAAACTCAATTTTGATACATTTTTTCAGAAAATGCCTGAATATCTTAATTTAAGAATGTTTAGTTATTTGTATTGGAAAATGACAAAAGTAGTAAGATCATTTTTGCAGTGTATTTGAGTAGTAAGTGTATTTATCTATATATTTTTAGTAGCTTAGTATTTTTTTTTTAGAAAAGTTTTATAGTATTTATACACTTTAGAAACATACAGTACAAGCAAAATTTTTTTTTAATTGTTTAAAATATCTACAAAAAACGTTTACATTCTTCTTTTTAAAAAAGCATGGTTCAAATTACAGATTTGGATTTTGTATATATATTTTTATTCATAACGCATCTTGTAGGTTATTTACAACTAGAACATTTAGATGTAACATATAGAGTGAGTTACTTGTTTGTCACCCAACAAGCTACAGATTTCTTAAGAGGATTTGCAGGAGCTTAGCTTTACTGCCGGCCAAAGTTTTTCTCAGCAGAGACGTCTGACCCAAACGTTCAACGATGCAACACTTTGCGAAGGTGGCAGAATCATGTCTTTGATTTCATTCTCCCTTGCAGTCTATGGGAGCTTCATGTTTGGTCTCAGGTCAGTAAGTGGATGGGAACAAGTCTCCCCTTGTGCCTGGCTGCAGCTTTGAACAGTCTCAGACTCCTACAGACAGTGCCAGAGTAAAGGAGTTGCCAGTCACCCTGAACCGTCTGGCTGATGAAAGCGATGACCACATGCCAAGCGGGACTTCCAAGCATCGTATTAATGGAAAACGTTGGATCCTAAAAGCTATAGCGCAGTCCTGAAAAGCGGGCACTTAGAAGCACCATAAACCAAAACTGCACCATAAAAAAGGATTTATGAGACTGAACAAATGTTTACAAGCCCTTTGAGTTATTATGAATATTTATATGAAATTAAAAACTAAATAAATATGTAGTAAGCTTTAAATGATGATATGATCTTTCCATACACCTCACTGTTGGAGGTTTTCCTTAGGGAGCAGAGAGGACACCGTTTTGCTTTACTCCCTTAGTAAAAACTGGCTGCAATTAAGCATCTCACACACCAGGAAACGGCTTCAAAGAACTGAGGTATGTACACTGTAAGCCTCACTAAATAAATCATTGTCTGTGTCAAAACATATATATATATATATTTTTTTTTTTCCCTCCAGGTTGGTCCAGCCTATGTGCATATGCAGTCACAAGTTTGAGTCTCGGGACATTGTGTTTCCATGGTAACTGTATCTTCTAACAGCATCTACAGTGATGCGATGACTTGAGCAATTGGATATTGAGCCTTTTTATTTAGACTTTTACTTAGACAAGACTTATTCTGCCTTAATGCAAGTTGCAGTTTCTCCCATTCATGATAATCCAAGTGAACTGTCTTGATATTTATAGTCTTAATTGATACACATGATACAAAAGTCTGAGACCACTATTTCCAGGTTTAAGTAGAGTTTTAAATCCCAGATTATTCATTGTGGTCTCAATCTATTAGCTGTTGGAACGTGACATTAGGAACGTGTTGCTAAAGCCTAACTAATTGAGAAATTGTACCGTAATTATGCATGATTGCTTTTCATTAGCATTGGACTTCAGAACAATCAGCATGCTTTTCCTGACCTCTCCCTGCACAAAGAACACTTACATAATCAGCTGCCACTGGCCTTTTCACTATATCACTATGTCCTGCCATGGTTATGACTTCCATTGTGGGAATCTTACTAATGCATAGAACTTATAAGCATTTTTTTTATTATTATTAATGAGAGATGATGTTTATGAGCAGTGTGTGCTTTCACACAGAGTTCTTTCCTGTTGCGTGTCAGTCACTCCCACCCAGCAGCTCAATTAGGTGTTAATGCAGCAGTTGATCTGATTGGACCGGGGACCTTTCAACGGCTCTGAGGCCGACTGTGGTGGTGATGTTTTTGTTTTGTAGGGTTTCGTATGTCAAACACTTTAGTAACACCCTTTCAGGATCAAAACACGTCATGTGGAGAGGACACTGTTAGGTACACTGTGAGTACAAAGAATTGCCTTTTTGTTGTCCCTGCATTTTATTACTTCTTGCTGCTTGCACTAAATTCTTTACCTTCTTGTGGTGTTGATGGGATACGCTTGAAAGCACTGAGGTACACTATGAAAGCACTGGTTTCCTTCTCATGCAGTCCCAACGGTTTCCTGTGATGGCTTGCAGTACATAAGTGGCATTTGTGTGTGAACGTATAGTTTAGTCTCCTGCACTTTTATTTATTCACCCTCATGTTGATCTAAACCTGAGTGAAGTCTAGGTCTGTCAAGCATCAAAATTACAAAAAAGGATCATAAATGTATCATGAATGATTTGTGTGTTATGCTATGTTTTCTGAAGCCATATTACCAGCATCCTCCATTCTCTTTCAGTAGTAAAAAAAATAATAAAGAGTGCCTGTAACTAACAATATCTATAAAGTTTTAGTAATTGTTCTAACTGTATTAGAATAGAGAAGTTCACACCATAACTATAACAAAACAACATGAAATATCTATATTGTTGGAATCACTTTCAACAATTTGTTCTAGCTGATGAATGATAAAAACAGTGACAGCCAATCAGAATCCACCTTGCTCAAGCATTTAAAGTGGCACACGACATAACTGTAGTGCACTTATAATAAACAGAATATTATCGTGCATTGGTGTGGACACTAATCACAATTGTTATAGTTATATTTATCGTTCTTGGTGTGAACAGGCATTCACACCACAGAGAAATGTGATGTGTAACTAAAAGCGCTTCTCTGCACTGCAGCCAGTGTTAATCAGTATGCAAATATTTATGCCTTGCAAGCCACTTATAAGTAAAAAACTCATGCTGTACTTTAGTGTGAGTTCCCAAAAAGGAAGCTCTCCAACCTATTTTGTCAAAGGTCATGCTCTGAGTGTTTGTTCACACATTACTTGCTGTCATTCCTCACACAGATTAATAACATTGCTCACAAGGCCTAAATCCTTGCAGTACTGAACACTGGCTAAATACTCCCAGCTTACATATGAATTAATATTTTATTTAATTGTATTTATTTGTTTTTGCAGGCCACTAGAGGTGAGAGACCCCAGTTTATAAACTAGTTGGGTTAATATATTGCAGGGTTGTTGTTTTTTTCTTCCTAAGGATAGGTTTTTATGTTATTTTTATGCCGTTTATGTGTATAGATTATATATATATGTTTTTCAAAAGATCCCTTGAGCCTCATTCACTGTGGTGCCCATTGAAAGCTGTGGCTGAGTGACAACACTAGCTAATTGTCTGTTATATAACTGTGGGCTGAAGAGATGCACACTTTCAAAATCATCATGCCGCTTTATGCGCTGGTGAACCTCTTCATTTAGTAAGTCAAACACACTTCCATGCTGCTCAATCAAAAGAGATTCACTTGAAGCCTAAGTTAAAAAGTTTCCACCTCAGAGTGGAATCAGATGCTTCTCTGAGCAAAACACTTCAGGTGGGGACACTCAGCCATGTTATTTCCAAAAGCTAAGAAGCAAAGAGTCATCTAATATGTTGAGGGTGGCTCTGAATGAGGCTAACAACATTGGCAGAAGGGCAGAACCTAAACCCAAGGTCTAGTCTCAGCCACAAAAGTCAAACACCGGTTAAAATAACACCGCCTAACAGTGCAAAATCAGACACCATGGGCACCATGGGGGCCCCTCTATTCTCAGATTCACTCATCGAGGCCAATTGATGCACCCGGCTGGCAGTGAAGGTGATATGTTTATATGATCATTTATTAGTGGAAGAGGTCAGTGGTGTATCTGTGGACCTGTGTCATGCAGAAAGAAAATGAAAGGGAAATATACAGAGGCACATGATGGGTCCCATTGCGTATCTGCTGGACAGGGATGAAATGTCTAAGTTCAGACTTGTTTTTTGAGCACAGTGGCCAACAGAGAGAGGTATTGTGCAAGGAAACATCGCCAGTCTACGCAGAAAGTTCAATAAATTGAGCCAAAACCCTATTGCTTCTTGCCTAATCAAGCAAACAAAAAAGAAGCAATGCAGAAACAATATGGTACTCTTTCATAATGATATTGTTAGGGTCAATAAAATGATGCTATTTTTTGTCCTATATAATTATGTATAAAAAAATATTAAAATGCTATTCATACATGCAATGACTTGAATACACCATGAGCATGTTTTTAATTTCTGAATCGAAATTCATTAAAGTGGTAACACTTAACAATGAGGTTCTATTTGATAACTATATTTGTTATGATGAACTAACAATTAAAAAAAAATACTTCTACAGCAGCAATTAATCTCAGTTAATGTTAATTTCAGCATTTACTATTGCATAATTAAAATCAAAACTTGTATCTGTTAATATTATTTAATGGACCTGA